TTGCTGGTTCTTGCACTTCTTGCTACCTCACCACAGGTTAATCACTCATTGTACACATTTAATACTAATTAAATTAAGGGGTTTAATCTTAATTAGATTCATTTCATGTTGCTAATTAAGCGAAATTTTTTCATCAATTTTCAGGGCCGTGTTCCAGATCAGCAGTTAACTACAATGCAGGATGCAAGACAGCAATGTCAAATGTTGTCATGGCAATTGCGGTTATGTTCACATTGTTGGTCCTCACTCCTCTGTTCCATTACACTCCCTGGGTTGTGCTGTCTGCTATTATAATAGCCGCCATGCTCGGCCTCATAGACTATGAAGCTGCAATTCACCTCTGGAAGGTTGATACATTTGACATTGTTGTCTGCATGAGTGCCTATATCGGCGTCGTTTTTGGCAGCCTTGAAATTGGACTAGTCTTAGCGGTACGTACGACTATATGTCACACCAGTAAAAAGTTATTGTGTGTGACAATAGCACCGTATCAACAACTTAACATTACTTATTAGAACTAATATTTCTTTTTTCTTGTGTGTACGTTGCAATATCTGTGATCAGGGTACTTTTGTTTCTGGCAAGGCCAAGGACTTTTGTTCAAGGACACCTTCTGAATTCCATGGTTTACAGAAATGTTGAGCAGTATCCCAATGCAAGCAACGTTCCTGGAATTCTCATAGTTGAGATTGATGCTCCCATTTACTTTGCAAATACCAACTACTTAAGAGAAAGGTACTAATTAATTAAACCTGAACACACTCTTGCATGTTATAAGCTTATTATTGATTGTGTAAACCAAGCTGCTTCCATCCCTTGGAGCATTAAGCTGCTTATTCAGGATATTCTCTTGTTGTGTTCCATTTGTGAGAAAATGGCTTGTAAGCATGTGTTTAGGGAGGCTAATTTTACGGTTAATGTTCTTGCCAACTTGGGGCACAAGCTTATTCCGTTTAAGTTGTGGGAGAATGGGCTACCTTTGAAATATTCTCTTCGGTTTTATTTTGATCTTTTTGCCCCGTAGTGCTTATCAAAATAAAGGACTCTTTTTTGTTTTCTGACTGGGTCATGGGGGAGAGGAAGGACCTCAATCACTGAGCTAAACCCAAGCAAGGACACATGCCAGTTTTGCTTTTAAGAATAATAAAGCAATGAATAAGTGAATTGTTCTTGTACTTACACCAGTGTTTTAAATTTAGTACAAGAATAATGTGACTCAAACTGTAATTTAGTCAACTAAATCTAACTTTAGTCTCAGAAGACCAGTAATCTAAAGTTTCAAAACTTAGACACTTACATTGGCGAAGCCATGAATTTTGTCAAGCGAGGTCATAAAATACCTACTAATACCAAGATGTGCAATGCAACGGCATATATACATAGACATAGGTATAAAAAGAGAGATTTTTGTAGGTGCTAACTAAGTAAATTCAGTAAGTAAGGAATTCCAAATGTAGAACTGTTTGGCATTGGCGTTTTATCGGTCAGCAAATGATGGGTTGGGTTTGAGCAACGTGTCCTTGCCAAGATTGGGCTGCAAATCTTATAAAGTTGGCCTAAGCAGCCAACCATGCCTTTCTTGGAGAGGAGCCTAATGATGGTGCCAACATGCAGGGACAGAATAGTTAAGAAACAATCAACAATTTCTTTGCTCACTTCAGCAAACAAAACTTCGTGGCTTTCTGTGTCTATTAGGAGCTTCAAGCTCACACTAGGGTTGGAGGTTGCTGCCATATTGAACTAGTGATGAAGAAGACATAGTCTACCAGCATATTGCAATATTTGTTTGGTATTGCCTAATTATAGATTTTGATAATTGAAGCACTCAAACGTTGCCTTTATTGCAGTGAACCTCAACATTGTGTATCATGGTACAGGGCATTGTGCCAATGAAACTCAACATTGGAACTTGGTCCTCATCAACATGCATCTAGAGAATTTGTTATTCCAGTATTTTGATCATTACATTTTGGCTAAGACCCCATTGATCGCTCTTAGAGCATCTTCACCCACAAGGGCTAAGTCTAGGGCAAGGGCAAGCAAGGGCTGCCACTATTCATGTGAATAGTGTCAGCCTTTGCATTTGTGGTTCCACCTATGAGGGCTAAGTTTAGGGCAAGTCCAAGGCAATTACTATTCATTGTACTTTATTTCCTATTTTTTTATACTTTAAACCATTAATTTTGATAATCTTTTGTAATTAAATTTTCGGATAAGATTTTTGGTTGTCACGTGTCTATTATTTTTCAGAAAAGATTTTCGGATGAGAATCTCGGTTGTCACGTGTCTTATTCCAGATAAAATTTTCGGATATTCATTAAAAAAAATTATAATCTCAGATTTCAGATAAGATTTTCACCCCCTAAAATTGTGCCACGTGTCCCATGTCAGATAAGATTTTCATATATGTTTAAAAAATTATAATCTCAGATTTCAGATAAGATTTTCACCCTCTAAATTTGTGCCACGT